TGAGAGAGAGAGAGAGAGAGAGAGAGAGAGAGAGAGAGAGAGAGAGAAATGAAGGAATATCAGCTCCCTCTGCCGTATAGCAATAGAAAAAAAAACAGGATTTTGTCATTGTATGATCACCAGGAATCCTGCAATGCAATGTCAGGTGATGAGTTCAAAGTTTTGCAATAAACTAGGTATTGTGGCAAAACACTGCAGTAGTTTTACGCACCATTTCATGCTGTAAAGGACCCATATGCTCAATCTGAGGTCCCATTTATACAAGATTGATACACTGATTTTCAGTATCACAATTACTATTCTTCTGGTCTTGAATAGGTGGAAAGTTCATTGTGCTATCTAATAAACTGTAGAGCAGAGCATTTTGCTGGATGCACAGAAAATTTCCATATTCCATCTCTTCTGAAGCCATACAGAAGCTTTGTGTAAGAAAGACCCAGATTAATGGAAAATCATCCCCTCCTCAATCTCATTTACACTTCTGCACATTCAGTTCTGCTGCAAGAACCAATGGCATCTGGCACTTTAAGATGTGTGATAGAGGGGAAGATTAACAATGAATTCTTTCTATTTCTTGCAAAGCTATTCGATGGCTTCAGAAGACTTTGTTTGGGACAACACAAGGGTGATTACATATGACAGTTTTTATTTTTTGGAAAATATTCTGGTTGTACTTAATTTTATAGTATGTGTGTAAAGTAACTAATTGGGTTTAAGCTTTGGTTCAAGGGTAGTAACCTAATTATTACCCAGTTATTGTAATTAATATAGTACAAACATAGTATTTACACTACTGTTCAAAACATTGGGTTGGTAAGATAGTTTGATGTTTTTGAAAGTTTTTATGCTCACCAAGGCTGCATTTCTTTAATCAAAAATACAGTAAAACAGTAATATTGTGAAATATTATTACAACTGTTTGCCATTTTAATATATTTCAAGATGCAGTTTATTCCTGTGATGCAAAGCTGAATTTTCAGCAGCCATTAGTCCAGTCTTCAGTGTCACATGATCCTTCACAAATCAGTCTAATATGCTGAGTCCCAGTTGTGCTGCATAATATTTTTGTGACTTTTTTTCTTTTTTTTTTAGGATTGTTTAGGCCAATTAAAACTATACAATGCTGCAGTTTGCCAGTGCTGGATCTGCGTTTGTTGGGTCTTGTACTGTAATCTGGACATTAGTTGGTGTCTCTTGTGGAGCGAATTAGCCTTTAGATAAATAGAAAGTTCAAAAGAACACCATTTAAAAAAAAAAATAATTTTGTTACATTTTAAATTCCTTTACTGTAAATTTTGATCAATTTTTGCTGCATCCTTGCTGAATAATAATTACAAATTGTATAGATTGTACAAGTACTACCAATATTCCTTTAGTGTGCAAAATAATACTGTTTGAAAAATGTATGCCTGTTATCAGTGTATTAATAGATGCTGATGAAGGAACATTGCAACACTGTAATATACCTTATAAAAGAATTAGGGATGCACCAATATTAAAAATCTAGCTCAAAACAGACAAGTCAATAATTATTTTCATATTATGACCAGTAAATGACCAGTATTGTACTATACTATCTACAGTATATTATTCTGTTTGAATAAATGCAAAATAGAACACCAAAAACTAAAATAAATCATTGAAAATGCTACAACTGATGTACAGTATGAAAAATGCATATTCATTTTGAAATTTGTAAAAAAGAAGAAGAAAAAAGATTATATGTAACAATGTTATTAAATCAGTGTTTTTAAAAACGGTAACACTTTACAATAAGGTTCATTAGTTAACTTCTTTAGTTAACATGTACTAAGAATGAACAATACTTCTATAAATACTACAGCATTTATTAATCTTAGTTGATGTTAATTTCAACATTTACTAATGCATTATTAAAATCAAAAGTTGTGCTTGTTAACATTAGCTAATGCACTGTGAATTAACATGAATTAATAATATAAGACTGTATTTTCATTAACAATGTTGTTGTTCATTCATGTTTGTTAATACATTAACTAACGGAACCTTATTGTAAAGTGTTTTTTTTTTTAATGCATTTAGCAGATGCTTTTTTTTCCAAAGCGACTTACAGTGCATTCAAGCTATACATTTTTACCAGTATGTGTGTTCCCTGGGAATCAAACCCACGACCTTTTGCGCTGCTAACGCAATGCTCTACCACTGAGCCACAGGAACACTAGTGTTACTGTATTAATAATATTAGTATTAATTAATATTACGGTACTGATATATCGTCCATCCCTAAAAAGTATTAGTTTACTTTGCGCATTATGGAGACTCTAAAATGGTACTGAAATGACTAGGAACTGAAATGGTAGGAGATGGATTTAATAAGTGCATGTGCTTCTACCAATCACTGTTTATCTGTATCTCTTATCTCAGGTGGGTGGTCACACCATGCTGCCCATCCGCTGGATGCCCCCAGAGAGCATCATGTACAGGAGATTCACCACAGAGAGTGACGTGTGGAGTTTGGGTGTGGTCCTCTGGGAAATATTCACATATGGCAAGCAACCCTGGTACCAGCTCTCAAACAACGAGGTAAGACACATCAGACCAATCATAACCAGTTTTTACCATGTAAAAATGGCTCTTTCTAGGCAGACTGATGCATTGGACTGTGTTTCTGCTGCCTCCTGCAGGTGATCGAGTGTATCACACAGGGTCGGGTGTTGCAGAGACCTCGTACTTGCCCCAAAGAGGTGTATGACCTGATGCTGGGCTGCTGGCAGAGGGAGCCCTACATGAGACTCAACATCAAAGAAATCCACAACCTGCTCCAGAGCCTGGCCAAGGCCTCGCCTGTTTACTTGGACATCCTGGGCTGATCCGTTTGCCAGTATGGGTGTGTAATTGTTAGCAAGAAAAAGTGTGTGAATGCGTGGTATAAAAGGAGTAAGGGATGGTTTCGATTAGAATGAGTGATTGTGTGTGTGTGTGTGTGTGTTTATTAAAAATGGCTTGTGCTTCAGACTTCTCACCACATAGACTAAAGGCCTTAAAGTTGACTGTGTGCATTGCTTTGAGTTTTTCCACATCTGGACATGTCCATATCTGTCAAGCATCATGTTTTCTAAAAACCCCAAATGGTCTACAAACAGAAACATCTGATTGTTGTAAATATGCGTCAGAGACAATGTAGACCTTTTGTTTAACAACCTTTTAGAAAAAGGTCATTTGGTTTAGGAAAGTTTATATTTGTTTTTCTTTTACCATTTGTTTATCGAGATGGACAGAATTCGGACTTGATGAGGACCCAGTCATTAGCACAACGCGGTCAAAGCCCTGGCGACATTCTGGCAGACTTTACGCAAATCGCAATACTATTTATACCGCAAACTATCGAGTAACAATCATGGAACTGCCAGATTCATGTTTCCTTCCTTTTTTTTTTTTTAACACATCTGATCTAATTTTAGATTAATCTGTGCCAAGTTTTGATGTCTAATGTTGAGGTTGATGAAAGGCGTTTTTGGACATCTCAGTGCGTGCGCCCCATCTTACTCAGTGCGAACTTTGTAATAGAAGCACAGCGACAAGACTTTTTTTTTTTTCTTCGGAAGAGGCTTGAGGTTGGACACCGAGTGTTTGGAGTGAGCACAGAGGCAAAGTCACCAGCAGTGGCATTGAAGTATTTCCTCAGACTTTGTTTGGCTCCCTGGCCATATGCGCTGAAGTTCTGATTCAAAGGGCACTTGTCTCTCTAACTGAGGTTCGAAGAACAATGAGAGAGATGTTGTTCTTGTGTCCATCAGTGGTAACACGTTAGGGTGCTTACACACTAGAAAACACTCTGACCGGACGCTTGATGAATTGAATTGTGCAAGAGGGTGTGGAAAGAGCCAGCCTGGATAATTCATCCAGGATATTTCCCTGCCTTCGGCACGAGAGGCTGAGATAGTTTCCAGGATCCCTACGACTCTATATCGGATTATGGATGGATGGAAAGAGCCAGGACTGTTTGAAATAAAGCAGAAATACAACCAATTGGATTTCTGAAAGCACAACTGGACCCACCTCCCTGGGATTCTCAGTAGTCAACAGAGTGCATTCCAGCCAAAGTACAAATTCCCTCCACTTTTGGTCACATAACGGAGCATCAAAATCAACAAATTCCCAGCATTCTTTGACATAGCGTAAACTAGTGTGTAGGCACCCTTAATTGTTGTCATGTTGCAATTTGATGGACTTTGCCTTTGCGAAGACTGAAGATTTCTTTCTTACCTGTTCCTGGGAAGTATATCCATAGATGTTGTCCATAACATAACAGGCCTGCCTGAACAGCTGGATTTCATTTGAGCTCGGATTATTCATCATTATCCGTTTATGTATCAACTGCGAAATAACTGCTAAATAATCTGTGTATGTGATAATCTATGATCGATTTGTTTTGATGTATTGTGGGCCGTTTCAAAGCGATGGGCTTGGTGGGCACTGTGAAGTGAATGTTCATGTGAGGATGACTCGAGTCGGACTGTCCCTGAGGTCACAACAGGAAGACCCTATGAAGGGACCGTCCCGATTCAAACTGTGCGTTTCAACCCCGCCAGACAAGTAACCAGAGGAGGACTGCCAACCAACAGGGTTTATTTAGACTACAAATGACTGAATGGCAACTAAAATTTTTATTTTCATATGACATTGTATTCAGACCCCTTCGTTTTTTCACGTTTTGCCGTAGCCTTATGCTAAAATGTGTTTTCAGTCTACTCTCCATACGGCATAACGACAAAGCAAAAACATCTGTGAAAACTGCAAATTTATATAAAAAAATAATAATATTATAATATATATACAGTATATATATATATCACAATGACTTAAGTATTCAGAACTTTAACTCAATGCTTAGTTGAAGCACCTTTGAGGATTTTCTGCCATTCTTCTCTGCAGATCCTTAAAATGTCGGGTTGAATATGTACTATTGGTGGACAGAGATTTTTTTTGTTGGGGTACTAAAAGTCTGAACTCTGGCTTGGTCACTCGAGGATATTCATAGAGTCGTCCCAAAACTACTCTTGCATTAGCTTGGCTGTGCTTAGGAGTCACTGGACCAGTCTTGAGGTCTGGAGTGCTTTGGACCAGGTTTTCATTAAGGATATCTCTGTATTCAGTTTTCCTTCCAGCCTGATCCGAAGTTCCCCAGTCCATGCTGCTGAAAAACACCTCCACTGCTTCACTGTTGGGATGGTATTGCGCAAGTAATGAGAGGTGCTTGGATTCCTCCAGACATGACACATGGAATAAGGTTCATCAGACCAGAGAATCTTCTTTCTCACAGTCTGAGAGTCCTTTTTTTTTTTTTGCAAATCTAAGCTTTCATGTGTCTTGGACTTAGGAGAGGCTTCCATCTGTGCTTCGCGCTTTGTAGGCAGTTCCTTTGCCCTCACGGCTTGGTTTTTGCCCTGATTCGAATTTCAACTTGTTTGACATATAGACAGGTGTGCGCATTTCCAATTCATGTCCAATCAGTTTAATTTGCCACAGGTGGATTCCAGTCAAAGTGTAGATGCAGCTCAATGAAGACACAAAGAAATAGAATGCAACCTGAGCTTAACAAAGAATACGAATACTTAAGTCGATGTAATATTTCGTTTTTTAAATTTGGCAAAGTTCTCAAATTTGTTTTTTGCGTTATTTTGGGGCAAGGCCGCCGCAAGCGTGGTGCAGCATGTAGTCTACTTTCGTCTTTCAAACTAGGACTGCAGATATACAAAAACAAAGTAAACAAAGCAGCGCTTGCTTACCGTTTTGAATATGAATCCTGTTCATCGGTCTTCTCTTACTTCATTCCAGATGGCCATGTTGTTATGAAAGCGCAACCCATGTTATGCTTCTGTTATGTGGTAGGGAGTTTAGATTGATGTGAAAAAGCATTTTAGTATAAAGCTGAGGTCACATTTACAAATCCACTCATTTCAATAGGGATTTTGCGTGATTTCTCAATGCAGATTTCGCAACGAGTTTGAGCTGCTTTGGTTTGAAAGGGACTGCTGTGCTTCATACATCGCTACACAATTGAGCATGGGCCATGCTGTGAAACTAAATACTTAAAACGTCTGAATACTTTCTGAATCCATCTTAATTATTTCCTTAGTGATGTTTGCTAAGATAAGCATCACAAATACTGTCTTTTATACTTAGGGCTTACTTGAATATTACACGCAGTACATATTCGATTCAGTTGAATCTGTTAAACCAGACCGGTCAAAACGAAATCTCGTCGAGTCCCTCAACCTGACTATCATTACTGTTGACGAAATCCAGGGCTACAGTATTCGACTTGTCCTCCTCTGCAAGAGTAATGTTTTTTTCTCAATTCAGCTCGACGGGGCTCCTCTTGGGCCCCAGCAACACATTTTGCACCGACTTACTGATTCTTCAGGATGTGAAGTACCGGAGATGTGTTGCTTTGAATGCGTCTGTATATATGCAATTAGACTGTAAATATTCATGAGCAGGATCAATCATTCTTTGTACACTGATGTCAAATTCTTTCCAAACAGTACATTGGCAGGACCTACTTTTAACACCCGACATCATGAGTTGTCGGTTGTATATGAATGAAGAACTATGAGTACTGGAACACTGTTTATGCATTATTTTGTAAGTCAAGATTTTATGCTCTGCTGGGTGAAGCTCACTTAAAGTGTCGAGAAATGTCCTGGTCAGCCCAAAATCAAAAGAGAAAGAATACATGAAAAGAAAATAAGACCTATTTAAGGTCTTTTTTTTTTTTTTTTGATTTTGGAATGAAATATAACCTGGACATTTTTTTGTGAAACACACCCGTTTAGGCAACTGGAATTCGACATTTATGTTCCCCTTTCTTTAATTTGTTTAGCTGTATCACTGGTTGTGAGTGAATGTGTGTGTGTCTCCCGGCAGACTCAATCTCTCACAGCTTTAGGTGTCAGTACTCTATGCTTGTGCATCCTGTGAGAAGCTTCTCTGCAGTCAGTGGAAATGTTCCTTGTAATACTGTGCATTTAATAAAAGTGGTATGTCTTACAACATTGTTCAGAATGTTGCCAATTATATTTATAACTTTAAAAGTGAACCAAAGAAACACACACACACACACACACACACACACACATATATATATATATATA